ATAAATTGTATGCAGATGTCCTAATTAATTATTAATGTATTGCAACTAATGTGTGAAAATAATGTAATTAATATGTCTGAATAACATTATTTCTGTATCTGTGTGATATCTAATTAGAAAACATTTCTAATGTTTCTGCTCAGGCAGCCCATAAATGCAGAAAATGCATCTGTGTCAAACCTAGGACCAGGAACTAACACATTTCTTAATACTGTACTATTAGTGAAGAATAGCAGGATCTGTTTGAACAGGAACACGAGGAAATTTTTCTGGTGGAGAAGAAAAACACATAAAGTTTCCATTCTGCTGCAACCATCAAGGATATTCTGATGAAGTGCAAAATAATATAAGCCAAAACTGAGTGGTACCTTCTCAGTTATTAAAAGAGGAAGATTTTTTTTTATCACAGTGGCATGCATTGCTTTAAAATCATCCTGAAGGAACAGGGCAAGCAAATATTTTAGGCACTTTCTTGGAACCATGATCGCCTAAAATATCGAAACTAGATGTATAAAAATGTCAAAGACAGTCTTCTACCTCTAATGAAGACTGAAAGTGACATTAGACTGAACTGGAAAAACTGTGAGACTTCATACATACATTATGCACATAAATGTTTTTATAACTAAAAAATAAATACATTTGTAGCATTCTCAGGCTTGGTGAGATTTTTAATACACTTTGTGTATATGTATATGTTTTGATAACATTTCGTGATTTCTGAACTGAGATCAGAAATGAATTAACACCATTCCCTTAGTAACTTATAGGAAAACCATCCTGAAATAGCAAAGGATTTGCAGAAAAAAAAAAAAAACACTGTCTTTACATAGATTACTTTTGTTATGCAAGATGTCACTGTTTGAAATGTTCAAGCTTATGTTTTTTGGAAAACTTAGATGTCAAAATCTATCAATGCTTGATCAGATTAATGGGATGAAATAAACTCAATAAAAATCTTAAATAAAAGTGAAGGAATTATAAATTATGCAGGAAAAAAGCATTTCTGAATTGTGGATACAGTGAAACTCTGATTCTAATACAAATGGGATTCAATAGTGGTTGTATAATCAGGAATGTGTAATAACACAGAATTACCAAATATTGGTTGGTAAAATAAATCTGCTGGGGGAAGAAATAGGCTAAAAAATCATGTTTTAAAAAGCTCATTTTCTTGCATTGCATAATAGTACTTTTATCTGGAAATTGTTAAGTTTTTATTCGATAATAAGAACTATTTTCTTCCACTTGTTTTTTCTTCTTTATTGTAGCACCCATGTTAGACTAAAACATGGGCTAGTTGAACTATGTTATAATAATATGGGTGATGATGATGTCGTGTCTATGGCAAAGTGCAATTATATAGCTCCGAAGCTGTCAATGGGCCCACCAGCGGCCGAGCGGTAAAGTTGCTGAACACTGGTAGTTCGGTCCGAGGTTTGAATCCAGCAAACGGGATGGCTGCATGGGTGTTTTCGTAGTTTTCCCCATTTGTAACGTGCATACGAGCCAGTTTCTCAAAGAAAGTCCTCCACGAAGGCATCCCTCCCCTTAGGCAGATAGCCCTAGTGTGCTTTGCCATAATTAAATACACCACCACACCACCACCACCGAAGCTGTCAAAGACAGCTTTTGCAGCCTCAGCAGCTTTATCAGTATAAAGTAGGTCCACTGGATCTTCAATGCTGATGTTAAACAGTCTGGCCTGAATTGCTGGGCAGTTGAAGATGTGATGGCGAGACAGTGGGATGTCATCTGGTCAATGAGGACAAATGTTGGTGTAACTACGCTGTCCGCCTGCAGAAATCCTCGTCCCTTTCAAGTGATTTGTCCTAAGTCTGGTTATGATAGTCGATATGGCTCTGTCACAGTTCAATTCCGGGATGGAGTTTCCTTTAACTTGACCGATTAGTCTTTGGCTGGCAACTGCATTGGCATCCATGAGGGTTAGGCAGTTGGATGGCTGAGGAGAATCACGGGATGCCTTTGCAAGCTCATCGGCCTTCTCATTACCAAAAATATTTACATGAGCCAGTATAATATGGGTAATTGATATAAATAGATTGTTAAAATGAATTGCTATGGCCTTAGCTATGAGAAATCAGGCTTGCTGACTTTAAAATTGTGACTCGTCAGCAATACTGATTGTGTATCTTGAATGAAAACACAGTAATGATAATAATTTGTAGCATGAATTAGATTTTCTTAGTATGTCAGGTAAAGTAAAATACTGGATAATCAAAATTCTATGGTCATACTTAATTCAATCAAAATGTATCATTTGTATTTCAGATATAATGTAACACTCACATGTATAAAGGAAGTAAAAAGGCAATAAAAAGTATAAACCCTTAAAGTCAAACATCTGTTGTTTGAAAATTTTGTACAAAGTGTAGTTAACTTTATAATAACTATATATGAATAAAAAGCGAAATATTTAGCTTATGTGTAGTATCCATACACGATGGAAAATTCTCAGGATTTATTTATGCATGACAAGTAAAACTTGTATGAAGGATCATGTGCTAGATGCATACAAATACCATGGTAACATTACTCTCTGTACAGATGCATTATGTATAGAAATTATATACATATTGTAAAAATATTTATTCATGGATTTAGATACTTTCACTTAATTTACATATGCTCTCAGAATTTAAATGATATTGTAGATTAGTTCGCAGCAATAATTAATCATTTATTTGTATGCAATTAAAATTTCATAATTTAAATTTTAATTAACTTTAAATTTGCTTTTTACGAATAGAGAATGTTTGTTAAATTCAAATTTCATTCCTTGCAGCAAATGCGCAAGAGAATTATTTAAATTTAATTTAACTTTACTATTTATTCTTATAAACTACATACATATATTTTTCACTACCTTGCATGTCTGATGTATGTATTACATCGACATCAACATGTAAAGTAGCAAAAAACACTTCATTTAACTCTTGACTAATACTTCAAACTTTGCAAGTTTTTGTCCTCAGCTTTGACAGTTGATATTTCCTTAGAGTGAATTTTGATCTTATTACATATCAGATGTATCAGGTCCTTATTCAATATTTACATATTTAGACATTTAAGGTAATTTGAAAAATATGATTGCCAAAACTCTAGTAGTAATAAGCATCAGTCCCTTATTAAGTGATCACAATTTAAATCCACAAACATGTATGTATAGTAGGAATAAATAAATACATCAAGATGTTAGCTGGTCTTCATGATGTAGAGTAGCAGTAGCAGTATTTATAATATAAATTAAAGCTATAGTTAAAAGTTAAGAGAAAAATCTTTAAAAAAAGTAAGGGGAAAAAATGAGAAGAGGAGGGGGAGTAAAAAGAAAAATGAAAACTATTAAGACTGATTTTGAATTCTGTGGTGAAGAATATTTCTAATATTTTTGGGCACCATATAGGCAGCTGTAAATCTGTACTTCTTACGTATAAATTAAATACAGTCAAAAGTCTTTAATCCGGATTCGTCGAGACATCGGTGATTCCGGATTATCAGTTTTTCCAGATTATAGATCATCAGTTTAAATCTGATAAGATGGCACGCAGAAATTATAAAATTAAAAATATGAAACCGTAATTTATGAAATAAAGAGCAATTATGATCTAAAGGGTATCAAAATTTACAAAAAAAAAGCTTAATATTTATTTGTTTACTTTATTAAACATTTCTTTCAATGGGCACATGTGTAAAGCATACATTATGCATATTCGAAATTAGAAAATTGCAACCAGAAAACTATTTGATTTGTATTCGTGATATGTATAATGACGAGGAATTTGATTTAAATCATATCAAAGACAGAGTACATCGAGATGAAATACTACATTATAAGCCGAAATTATAAGCAGAATAAAATAAAAACATCTGCCCTGAAGATAAGGATAGTGCTAACAGATAAACTTCCAGTTCATTATGCGCCGCGATGTCAACCCCCCCCCCCCCGGATAATAATAAGCCGGATCCAATTAGAAGATTAAGGAAAAACGCAATCTGCAACATTATTTGAAATAGATAATTAGATAATTTTAGCTTAGCTTATACCGAGAGTTATACATTAAATGCGCATGCGTAAACGTATTATGCGCATGCATAAAGGTATTATGTGCATGCGTAAATGCATTATGCGTTTGTGTATGCGCAGTAAGTTTGTAGCTTTGAGGTCCGGATTATAGATCATTCCGGATTATGGACATCTGGATTAAAGACTTTTGACTGTATTTTTATATTATGTTCCGTTTGGAGTATACTGTGTTTTATTTTTTATGTTTGTTTAAAATAAGGTTAGATTCAGCTTTAGATTGGCACTGGTTTGTAAGAAAATTATATGCATTTTGAAGAAGATGGTCAAGAAGTCCCTTTTCTTCAAAGTACAGAAATATTCTGCCACTTCATGATTTGAATTATTTGGATTATGTTAAAGTATACCTTTTTTTAAGGGTAAGAATGCCTTTATGAGAAAAAAAACTAACTGATATGCACATTATACATGGAGAAAACCATGGAAATTCCCATGCAGCCGGCCTGTTTGTTGAAACTTGAGCCCAAGTCATACTACTAGCATTCAGCAATTTTAATACTCAACCTCTGGTAGACTTAGATTGAATTTCTTATGGCAAAATACACTTGTACTATATGCTTACAGGGATGGGTGTCTTTTGTGGAGGGTTTCCTAAGAAAAACTGGTTCATATTTATGTCACATAAGGGGAAGAAAACATGAAAACTCCCATGTAATCAGCCCATTCACTGGATGTGCACCTAGATCAAACTCTGAATGTTCAGCGATCTTATGTGCTCGGCTGCTGGTGGCTGCTGCTTGATGAAAAGAGGCATAGTGCTTGTGTCCACTATAGGTGTTTCATATGAAACCAGTGACAGTCTGAGATTAGATTTTGCCTTGATTTACCTTTGAAACTACCATTGCTTTTCTTCTGTATATTTTATACTTGCATTCTAAAATTTCTTTTTCTTTCACAGGTATCCAGCTTCTGTTTTTGTGGGAGATACTTTCTGCTATTTTGCTGGGATGACATTTGCAGTCGTAGGCATTTTAGGGCATTTTAGCAAAACCATGCTACTGTTCTTCATTCCCCAGATTATTAATTTTCTATTTTCCTGCCCACAATTATTTCATTTTGTGCCATGTCCTCGTCACAGGCTGCCTAGGTAAAGCACATTCATATTTTTAGAAATTATCACTACGTCTTTATGTTAAACATTTTTAACATAAATAATTCATTGCTTTTTCTCATACATGATATTCAGAAAAAGCTGCTGCATGCTACGTTTTCAAACCACCTGTGTATTTAAATATTTCCTTAAATATCTATTCTAGGTATAATTACAAAATTTCATAATTTTATCGTAATACTTTATAGATTTCAGTCATTGCTTACAAGGTGTGACACAAAAAAAAAAAAAAAAAAGAGAGTAAATGTGTAATTTGAAAACAGAATGGAGTTGGCTACAACTGTTTTGGTGACGTCATGCCACACGCCTCCTCTATCCATGCGGCCAGTTTCGACTTAACCAACCATACTAGTGGGGAATACTGTGTCATTGAGTGAACACATGCAACTGCCATTCTGCCCAAAAAATGTCTAATGTAAAAACCGAACAGTGAATCAATATGAAGTTTCTTGTGAAGCTTAAGAAATCAGCCACGGAGGAAACATTTCAAATGTTAACCAAAGCTTATAAAAATGAAACTTTGTCTTATGCGCATGTGTTTGAATGGCATAAGTCGTTTCATGGTGAAGAGACAATGTGGAAGATGGTGAACATGCTGGGTGCCTCTTTGGGCTCATAGCACACCCAAAGGGGCACCTATCATGTTTATCATCATTGAATGGATTCCCAGTGGTCAGACTGTTAACCAATACTACTACTACACTGAAGTATTAAAAAGACTTCATGAAAAATTAGGGAAAAAAAGGCTATAGTTGTGAAGTGATGGATGGCTGTTGCACCAGGACAATGCACCCCCTCACACAGCCCTAACTGTTAAGCAGTTTCTGACCGGCAAAAACATTGTGATAGGGCATCCTCCTTATTCACCTGATTTTTTCCCATGCGACTTTTTTATTTTCTAAAGTTAAATCTTACTTAAAGGGAACCAATTTTACTTCAGCTGAAGAAGTTCATGCAAAAACAGAGAATCTCCTGAAGGGCTTTCTAAAAACCTCATTCCAGAACTGTTACCAGCAATGGCAGCACCGAATGCAGAAGTGTGCGAAAGAAGGGAACTACTTTGAAGGTGATAATGTCTTAGAGAACTGATTCTATAAGTACAATGATCTATTGGACCAGTCTCTTTTGTGTGTGTGTCACATCTTGTATATCAAACATGAGATAGGTAAGTCGGTGTAATAAAATGGAATCATAATTTGAGCAACTCTGCAGTAGGAAGAAAGAATTCTTTAAATTTCAAATTTAATAAATTTATTATAATTCCTTGAATTTATTTCAGTTTATGCAAAAGTATTTATATAAGTGTGTGTGTTTGTCATATACTTATGTGTTTAACTGAAAATTAGATGTATCAGGATCATTAAAACATCATTTAATCAGTATTGTTGGCTACTGTTCTATACTACACTTACAGTTACATGTTTTAAATTGCAGTTACATATATGACATCTTATTTTTAACAGAAATAAAAATATAATAATCAGTACTACCAATGAGTAACATAGGCATGGCCATTTGCAAAATTCGGTGACACAACAACTGTTTCGAAAGTATCTGAACATACAACACATATGTTATTCTGTTTGATACAGGAAACATTATAAGTACTTCTAAATTTGGAGTGTTCTTACCAATCTCAGATTCATTCTCTTCAGGATTTTCAATATCATGCCTTTCGTTCTGATAACTATTTTTTTACTGTGAAACCTTTTAAGTTTTTCCTTTTAAAATACATCTTTTGATTTTTTTAGAAGGTAACCAGAAATTTTTTGCAATTTATTATTATCAGAAAGAGACATACAGCAGATGGTACTCAAGGTATTAGGTCTCAAGTAATTTCCATCAGCTTCCAGTACCCATTTCCAACATTCCTGCAGTTGAGTAACACCATGGGATAAAACTCTGAAATTTTAAAAGCAAAGGAGTCCATGAGTACATGTTGCAGGTCTACCTTATTGTTAAAGGATTTCTCATGGAAGTGGTTGTCCAGAGAAGGGAATAGCAAGTAATTTGTAAGCACTTGTTCTAATGAGCACAGTGTCTCCTACCTGAGTTGCTGAATGATATCCATGATTGTCCTTGCCATATGGGATGTTGTATTGTTGGGGAGGTAGAACACACCTATGCAATTAACCATTTGAGCTAGGGAATTTGACGCTTGTAAGATCCTTAAAAAGACAGGTGTTGGAGTGTGTATTTTGTTCTCCCCCTCTTTCAATGAGTCTCTTGCTGTTTGCAAAAATAGCCCTTTTCGGTAATTTGATAAGAGTTGCATTTACTTAAATGAAAGGGAAATGCAGAGATTGTTGACTAAACTGCTAAATGCTTTTCCATATGGAGGGAAGATTTTAAAATGCTGTTGATTCCCAATCAGACTACTCAGTGGTATGCAGAAGAGATGTGTAGCTTTCTTCCTTATAAGTATTTTGTCTGAATGGATAAATAATAGTTTTAATCTACCTTATCAAATTAAGTGTCTTTATAAAGAATTAATTTGATTATATTTTTATTTTAAAGTTATATTTTAAAAATTCCTCTATGTTTTGTTCATTTTATAAATATTTTAAATCTTTTTAATTTATCAGTTCTCCATCTCACTTTTTTAATACCTCTTAATTTTTTATTGATTTCATGAATTTATTAAAAACATTCATGGCTTGGTAAACCAAAAGAACACCATGCAGAAGTTGCAGTAAACAGAAAAGTTAGTCATATTTCCTTATAATTTTAAATTTTTTATATCCACTGGAAGAAGTAAAAGAAAATGCTTGGTACATAACTTTTAATTAAAAAAGTTTATGTCGTTATCAAATTTCTTTTCTTATAAAAATCATATTTATTTTAGTGTTAGTAGTTTAGTTCGTTATATTTTAGCTCCTTTTGTGGCTGCCTGTATGTGTGTGCACGTGAACCTATTTTAAACTTACGAAGCATGGTCATTATACAATATTACTTTAAATTATTATTTTCTTTTAATTTAAAAGGTATCCATCTAAAATTCTACCACTTATAGCAGTGGTGGCGAACCTTTTTGGGCTGTATGCCCAAAATGGAATGGCTGCATGCCATTCCATTTAAGATATTAAATTAGAATTATTCATAAGTCACTTCAAAATGCTTAGATCTGAAAACTGGAATCTATTTAACAATGAAAGTATTAAAACTCGCCGGCAGTCTGCAATAAATTTAAATTCATTTAGCAAACATTAGCTGCTTCAACTTTGGCATATTCTGTGCCATGTAACAAGTAATATATTTGGCACAAACAACTGAAATGTCTTAAATTGGGTCAGTAAATATGTATATCATTTCTATGGCAATATATGAAAATCTTCTGTCTGGGCTTAGGCCCTATGCCATTGGCATTATGCAATAACAAGTAAGTGAAACATTCAAGAACAGGCTAAAACACTTATTTAAATTACGTACTATCATTTTATTGTGATTATTGATTAAGGAAGTAATATTTTAGGCATATGCTGGCTGATGACCCTCTGTGTGCCGACTGTGGCATGCATGCTATAGGTTTGCCGTCACTGACTTATAGCAATATCTGTAGGACAATGTTATATTTTGAAAGAATATTTAAAAACATTTCCATTTTGTAACACATATTTGTTTTAAATAGGTAATTTGCTTTCATTTTGTTTATTAATTTTACAATTTCTAGCTAGTAAATTGTGAGCAACGTTTGACTGTTATTTTATCCTTTAAGTTTCTATATAATATCATTTCTATATAATATATTCTATATAATATCATATATCTTCTACTTCTTATAAGGCACAATAAAGAAACTGACTTAATGGAAACTAGTTCTGTGATATTTAAACCAAAGTCTCTGTCCTTCCTGGGAAAACTGTGTTTATCCATTGCCAGAAATTTTCATCTTGTGAATTATAATGAAAAAATTCAAGGTGATGAAGTCATTGCTGAGTGTACCAATTTTACTCTTATTAATTTCACCTTGAAAGTTGCTGGTCCAACCTATGAAAAAGTTCTTACAAAATATTTGCTTACAATTCAGGTAAGTGTTTTGCTTTAATTATATAATTATTAAATATTTTGTTTTAAAATAATCAGCGGTCATTAGCAATGATAATCTATTTTAATAGACTGAATTAGTGATTAAAATTATATATGATATTAAGAATTATATTATTCTAATAATCAAAGTAGTTAAATAAAAAAAATTTAATACATCATAAATTGTAAGTAGATACTTATTTCTATATTAAAGTCTGAAATGTGAAATGAAAATGTGAATTCAATAAAAATTCTTTCTGCTTCTTGTTAATACTGGCTTTATATTTTGTATTCAATTTACTAGTAAATGCTATTCTTCAGTTTCATATCCGGTTCGAATCCCACGAACGGGCTGGCTGCATGGGTGTTTTTGTGGTTTTCCCAATGTGTAACGTGTATACGAGCCAGTTTCCCTTAAAAAGTCCTCCATGAATTCAACCCTCCCCTTGGGCAGATAGCCCTTGAGGCTTTGCCGTAATTAAAATAACCTAACCTCAGTTTCATATCCAACAGCTCCCAATTGTTACTAATGGGGATGGCGCTTATGGTTAATTTGAATACAGTTAAGAAACTGCAAGGAGAAATAGCCTATAATGTAATTAATATGGAAATAATATTAACAGTTTACCTGTGTTTTCAAGCAATTTAGTCTTTACAGAAGTTTATTTAATTATGTAAATTAAGTCAGTATTCAAAATAAAAAGAACACTGTAAATAATAGAAGAAAGAGAATTAAATGACTTAAAGACCAATATTTACAAAGAACTTGAACCGAGTTCGAACTTATGTAATAAACAGTTGATTAGAATTTTTTGTTGTTTATTCTTCAATATTAATATATTCTGAATTATGCACAAGTAATTTATGTACTGTTGTGAATACAAATAAAAATGACTTCCAGATATTCTGACATTCTCTATTGTCACTCACTTTTTTTTTTTTTTTTTTTTTTTTTTTTTTTTTTCATTTTTATATTTTTTTCAGAAACAGTTTTGTTTTGCACTGGATAGTTTATGATATTAATTTTTTCATCATCATACTAAGCTTCAGGGCTTGGTTTAGCTACTCCTAGTTAATTTTTTAATTTACCTCATGTTGTTTCCTTAATCAGTATATTTATCATATTTATAATGAGTCTCTTTTTAAACATAAAATATGCCTTTTTTGTTGTGTAGAGCAATAATTGTATGGAGTAATGATTTAAAATTGAACAAAATTCAGCTTCAGAGTGGCATTGGTTTTGTAGAAGGTTTTACATATTGAGAGAATTTAATAGATTCTCCTATTTCATGGAGCAAAAGTATTCTTTGTCATATATGTGCAAAACTTGAATTTAAAAAAGAAAAAGGGGAGAAAGGATGAAAAAAAAAAGGAATAATAAGGGAAGCAACAGTTCTAGTGAAATCTGTTGAATAAATAAAAACAAAAAGATTTTTAAAAATGAGATACAGTCAAAAGTCGTTAATCCAGACTTGTCGGGACTTCGGCGATTCCGGATTATCGATTTTTCCGGATTATAGATCATCAGTTTAAATCTGGTAAGATGGCATGCAGAAATTCTAAAATTAAAAATATGAAACCGTAATTTATGAAATAAAGAACAATTATGATCTAAGGGTATCAAAATTTACAAAAAAAAAGCTTAATATTTATTTGTTTACTTTATTAAACATTTCTTTCAATGTAAGTTGTTTAAGTTGCTTCGTTTTATGTGATAATACTTTCTCTTTAATTCTATAAACAGACATAATTTTTTGTTCAATTACAAAGTTCCGCTGTTCAAGTCCCGTTAATTGCTGTGCCGAGAATATCGACTAACTTGTCAATCGAAATTTTTTCGTTTTCACTAACCTCTCTGTCAGATTATTCATGTCTTTATCCATTTTTTGTAGCAATTCCACTTTTTGTTTGATGGACATCGAAACATACTTTCGTTTTGTTCGATCCTTTGGGAGCTCCAGAATCGGAAAATCTATTTGACATAATCGAAAGTTCAAGTTTGCTTTTATAGTATTGCTCTTACAGTCTGCAAAAAATAATAAGCCGGATCCAATTCGAAAATTAAGGAACAATGCAATCATCAACATTAACTGAAATAGATAATTAGATAATTTTAGCTTATACCGTCCGTTATACATAAAACGTGCACGCGAAAACGTATTCTGCACTTGCGCACACGAAAATGCGCAGTCGTAAGAGGTCTTACGCGCACGCGTAAACGCCTATGCGCATGTGTCAACGCGGCACATGCGCAGAAAGTTTTTGGCTTTGAGGTTCGGATTATAGATCATTCCGGATTATGGGTGTCCGAATTAACAACTTTTGACTGTATAACCTTTTTAAGTCAGTATATTGTTAAGCATTGATTTGGTTAAAGATTTGAAAATATAATAATTTTATTGCTATTGTATAAGTCTGGTCTAGCTGCCTGAACTTTGTCATTTATTGACAAGCATTTTGCTTTCTGCAGTTCAAATTATTCCAGCAAATTTTTCAATATTCCATCCATGTAGTAATTCCTCCTTCCTTATCTTGCTTCACTTTTCAAGTTTTATTAGTCTCCTCATTATGGATGTCCTTGCTATGTTTTGTGGATTGGATCTTGTTCCTGTTATTAGATCAACCTAATGATTTAGTTAATTCTTGATTTAATTTATGACTATTGACTAAATGGTTAAATGAGTCATCAGCACTTTGTATGATTTAATCAAGACAAAGGATCATAATGCTTTAATTTAGCAATAGTAAATGTTTCATTCCATGTTTCCATTTCTTGTCATAGCTTTGGATGTTTCAGTTTTTTCCATTTCTTGTTTCTTTTGACAGTTTTTAAACGTTCTTGAAAGAACCTGGAGTGGAATAAAGTAAATATTTAAAAGCTAACAAATCTTGGTGAATGTGAAAAACTCTTAAAAAAATTCTGATGTTGGAACGTAAGAAGTCTTTGTGAATTAAAAATTATTAAAGAACCAAAAATTATTATTTATGAAAGCTTTTTTAAAATTTTTATTCATAGAAGATGATAATTTCATAAGGAAAAAAGACTTGTCCTAGCTTAGCTGAAATGCATTATTGCTAAAAGTTTTATAAATTTCCCAAGAATTAAAAATCTGAAATATAGTTTTTAATGACTGAAGAAATTTTGTTTCAAGAAGAGAAAATAATATGGAAGCTGAAATTTGTATGAAATCGAAAATGAAGTTTTATTTAAATAGTACAAATTGCCAAATATTTTCTCTTTGATTTCAGTTTCCTCCGAGTTTAGTTCAACTTTGTTGAAGTGGCGAATGCAGTAGAAGTATTTGATTGAAAGTTATAGTATTTTGTTGAAAAAAGGAAAAGGTCAGGCTTGAAATGGGTGGTTTTTTTTTTTTTTTTTTTTTTTTTTTTTTACATCCAAGAATTTAAATTTGTGTTTTTTATTCTTTTTATTCTACCAATAAGAAATTACTGAAGACTTAAGTTCCTCCTATATAACATATCATATGTTACATAATTATGTATTAAGGAGATTACGTATTAAGGATTTGTAGGTTTATTCTGTATATGCAAAAGTACTTTAAAAAAAAATTTTATAAATACTGAATGAATGAAAATTTCAACCTCATTTCTCTTCTTTTGACTAAATACCTAAACTTCCACATCAACCATTATACCTCTACGACATTCAGCTTCATAACAATGTTTATAATACTGATTCAGAAGTCAAACAACAAAAATCAGCGTTATTCCACAAACACAGGACTTCAGTTCGATGGTTACCGAATCATCAGCAAAACCGCACAGGAAAATGTTAGATAAGATAAGAAAGCCTAATAAACCTCTCTTGCTAACACAAATTCTCTAAAAGCCGAAGGCAAATTGGATTGGATTAGTTAACCAGAAATTTTATGAATGTTGAATGCCTCTAGAAAATCCAGTTCTCCAATGGAAGATGTTTTTTGAATAATTTTGGCAGCAGAAAAATTGAAAGTGTGATTTTCGGACCAACAATGTTGAGCAACAGAAGACTTCTGTGTTTCCTTTTTTCTAACATATGCCTCATGTTCTTTGACGCGAAATTTTAAGGCTCTCTTAGTTTGGCCAATGTAAATTAAACCACACCGGCAACGGTGTGGTTTAATTTACATTGTTGAACATTGAGAAGTTGAGTACATTGAGTACATGAGAAGAACATTGAGTAATTTACATTGAGAAGTTGGAACGTTCCAACTTCTATACTCAAGGACCCCATTCCGGATATGAATTCCTGGGGTATTTATAGGATTCCTTGCCAGTGCGGTTTAATTTACATTGGCCAAACTAAGAGAGCCTTAAAATTTCGCGTCAAAGACATGAGGCATGTTCCAAAGGAACACAGAAGTCTTCTGTTGCTCAACATTGTTGGTCCGAAAATCACACTTTTTTTCGCTGCCAAAATTTTCAAAAACATTCGGAGAACTGGAGAGGCTTTCCATTCATAAAAATCTTTCTGTTCTAGTTAACGATCCTAATTCCAATCCAATTTGCCTTCGGCTTTTAGAGAAATTATGTTTTAGTTCTGGTTTCGCCAACAGATGGCGCCACTTGCTTATTCTTGTCCGGGCTTCTTATCGTTCATTCGTCGGTTTTGCAGCTGAAGATGATTCGGTTAAAACCATCGAAACTAGTCCTGCCCTGAAGCTGATTGTTTCAATGTGAACTTGCAATGAATGGTTAGACAATGCAATAAAGTTATTGTTTATTTGTGCTAATTATAAAGTTGAATGATTTCATTTTTTACTTTTAAATTGCACACTGTTAGTTTGCTCATGTTTTTTAACCAATAGAAAGTAAAAATGGAATTTATAAGATTGTAATGTTTGTTCATTGAAGTTTTCCACATTCACCAAAATTTATCATCTTTAATATTTGATCTGAACTTTAATCAAGGTTTTCCCAAATTGTACAGAAGCCTTATAATTTTTTAAAATCTTTTCATTCGTATATTCTTTACAAACACATTACTTTTTGGCATTATCT